TTCACTTGCACAGTATGACTTTACTTCACGTTGCTCCCATCTCGTCAGTCCAATCCACTTTCAGCACAACTGTCAAGACTCTTTAAGGCAAAATGCTCTGTCCAAGTCATTAATACTTCTCACTCTTGCCCCCAACCCACAGAAACAAACAACAGCAACAATAAACTCTCCAACTCTGTCTACATACATGGTTTCATTTAATTTTTTTTTTTTTTTTGATACTGGGATGGAACCCAGGGGCACTTAACCACTGAGCCACATCCCCACCCCTTTTTATTTTTTTATCTAGAGACAGGGTCTTGCTAAGCTGCTGAAGGCCTCACCACAGTGCTGAGGCAGGCCTTGAACTTTCGATCCTCTTCCCTGAGCCTTCCCAGTGGCTGGGTTTGCAGGCATGCACCAGTGCACCCAGCTCAACTTAGCCATCTTTTGACTTCGGGAACATGATAGGCACTGAGTAGAAACGGTGCTTGGAATTCTGCATTAGGATCTTTCCCCAGGATAGTGAGATACAGTCCAGTCCTCTTCCGATGTTGGGCAGTGACAGTGAGCTCCAGCTCCCAGTCGGTCACATGACCAGCAGGGGAACACCAGCCCTCCACAGAGTCCTGGCTGCTGAGCTGTGCTGTTCAGTGGATCAGGTGGATTCAATGAATTTTCCACTTAGGAAAGTTTCAACTGATGAAGGGTTTGTTGGGACCAAAGCCCATTATAAGTTAAGGAACGTGTACACGTATCTCCTCTGGTTGGCACCCATAAGCCCCCATGACTACCCCATGAGTGGGTAGTCCCAGGACTATTTCCTATTGGTCTCATTTACTCCCAGGTCCAGCTGAAGAGAGGTACTGACCGTCGCCTCCATGTGTTCTGCAACCTCTTGCCCTTGGATTGTGCTCCTGGGTTTCACGTTCTCTGACTTGTTGTAGCTTGGATCCTGCTAGTCCTTCCCACAGTTCTCAGCCAGATGTCCCCTCTTCCTCCTCTTCCGTGTTCCTGTGGCTCCTGGTATTTTTTAATGACATTTTATTACTTTCCAAGCTTATGTTCTTACAACATGGATGCACAGCTCATTTCCACTTATTAAGTATAAAACCCCACGAAGGCTGAGGCTTGGCTTGTGTGGCTGCTTTTCCCAGCAGGACCAGTGCTGTGTTAGAGGAAATATTTGTTCAATCAAAGAAGAAATAAAAACCAGCAGAAGGAATGTTTCTGTTTTCCCTGCTCCTCACCACTGCCTCACAGGGCGCTAGGTGAGGCGTTTTGGGGCGAGAGAGCAGGAAGGAGAGAACAGCTCCCATCCTCACAGGTGACTAATGCTTTCCAGAGGAAGTGAAAGATTTGCAGTCATTACTACTCTGCAAAGCTTTATTTTCCCACTTCGGGGCCAGCCCTCCGATTTTGCAATCTGAAAAATAACAAAAAGCAAGCAGTATCTGGATGGCAGTCCCCACGGTCTCCGGGGCTATTTTTAGGTCATTGTAACATGGTTTTAGCAGTGAAATGCTTCTCCAGCTCAGAGTTACTGCAGTTTTTCTCTGACTCACGGTTGTTTCTCACGCTCCCTGTGCCCACAGCCCATGTTTTTACCTCATTCCTGCTCTGCCATTTCCCCGTTTGACCACCCAGATTGCCATACCTGACAGCTGGCCCGTTGCCACCGCCCAGCAGCGTCTCCATGGGTATCCAGGGTGTGGGGGACTTGCTGATGGTTGTGGCCACGAGGGCCCAGGGGCCCCTGCATGATGTGAAAGGGTGGAGATGGCAGGCAAAAAAAAGAGTCGCAGGTCCCCTAACCAGAGAATGGACAGAGGTGGGGAAATTTTCCCCAATGGACCAGCATAAAATGACCTCAAATAAGCTGATTTGATTTATTCTAGCAAAAATGGAACAGGATGTACCAAGTGCTGATTTAGTACTTCTCATCAATAGCAGGCACCAAATCATCCAGCTTCCCAGCAGCGGGGCCCACCCTGCTGGCCCAGGGCTCCATCCCTCCAATCRCTGGCTCCGTTACCATTACTTTAGTGTCCCTCCAAGCACAGAACTGGGAACAAAAGCATCAAGAACGGTTTTTAGGCTGCAGAGTCTGTTCTGGCTGCCCAGCCACCAGCACTCAGCTGGGGTGGTTTTGCACATGCCGGGRGCTGAACAAGTGCCTGGCCCTGGGAATGCAGTGGGTAGAGAACTGAGTCTGGAGATAGGAGACCTCGGTTTACGTTGACCCAGGTCCCAGTTTGCGCGTCCTCCCACCTCTGCCGTATGACCTCGGACATGTTGTCTAACCTGTTGGAGCTCCAATTTTTCAATGTCAGGTGCATTGAGTCAGATTTATATTTCTGTGACCAAAATACCAGACAAGAATAACTTAGAGGAAGGAAAGTTATTTTGGTTCATGGTTCCAGAGGTGGAGCCCATACTTGGCTGAATCCATTGCTCGGGCCCAGAGTGACATAGAACTTCATGGTGGCAGGAGAGGTGGAGGAAGGCTGCTTCCTTCATGGTAGCCAGGAAGCAGAGGGGAGAGAAGGGGACCACAGAGAAGATGTACCCTTCCAGGGTATGCCCCCAGGGACCCACTCCCCCCAGCCATGCCCCAGCTACCCACAGTTATCACCCAGTCAGTCCACTAAAACTGAGATGGACTCTTTAGGGTACCACTCTCTATCCGATCATCTTACCTCTGAACATTTCTGCATTAACACAGGAGCTTTCAAGGGACACCTCATATCCAAACCACAACGCCAGGAGATCTCTAAGTCACCCGCTGCCATTCACACACTCAGCTTTTATTTGTGGTTGGTCAATATTGCCATCTGTTACTACCATCAGCTCCCCTGCAGTTCCACAAACGCCAACATCGTATCCACTTTATTCCTCTTCAGTCTAATTTCCCACACTTCAGCCAGAATCATCTATTTTTTTCTTATGTAAACCACAACATTGAACTTCTCTGCTTAATAGTTTAAAAGTCCAAATCCATTGTTGTGATTCATGACCTAGCTTTGCCCTGTCCCCCAATTCAGCTGCACCCCTGATTCCCTGGCCCTACGGAGCTGTTCTTCCCTCTGTCTGAAGGTCTTTCCATGTCTCTTATGACTTATTCCTACTCCTCCCTCTTGGGTCTCAGTTAGAAAAACCGTTCCCTTTAGAAAACCATTCCTGAGCATTCCTGGCACCCAGGGCTGGTCTCACCACTCTGCCTTCCGACTGTCTGTTCACACTCCTCTTCCCGAAACAGTCCCTAAACACAGCAGACCACCTGTATCTGGTCACATCCTCGGCATCAGYACAACATGGACAAATAACTGAGTGGACATTGCAGGTGCTCACACCCCATTCCCTCATTGCATCTTCTTCCCCAAACCCCTGATCCTCTGCATCGTAGGAACTTGTGCCCAGGTACTGACAAGCCAAGACTCCCTGGGCACTGCTTTTCATCATTATGGCCACTACAATAAGTGCTCTTCAGGCCTCCAAGAGGAAAAGAAAATCAAGGTTGGATCTGTGAGTCGATGATCAACTTTCAAATCCTTAGGTAGAAAAAGGTAGTGTGCTAAAGGTACTAACTCAAAACTCCAAAAATTGCATTTGGTCAAAAAAAATTGAAGACTACAAAAGATAGAATGTACAAACGGATGCTTTCCACTTTCATTCTCTTCAACACATAAAACAGAGAGATATATCTTTATGTGCATATACTCTAACCTCAATCCAGGTCCCCTCTATATTGAAGAATTTATTCCACGGTGTTAAGTCACATATGACAACAATAAGGCATATACCSTACCAGAGTCCAGTCTTATGCTGYGGTGAGACATTGCTATGGAGCACACAAGTTTTTCTCTGCAGAATCCATGAACACGGTGCTGGTCCTCAGCCTAAGCCCTGCTCTCTAAAAATGTCCTTTGTTAAAATGCAAAGGCTCCCAAGGCTGAAGAGCAGTCAAAACACTGGGGTCTGGAGGGAGATTTCCTTAGCAAGYGTTTTTGTTAAGATGAAAGAGCAAGAAAGACTTTGGGCATCCCTGGGAAAGAGCCATGGAAAGGGGACAGGAACGTTAGGGAGAAACCAGCACCTGAGTTATGAGTGCCAAGCTTATTTGCTCGAAAGCAAAGTCTCTTGAAATCCACCAGGTAGGCACTGTTGGAACCCGTGTTGTTGGGCATAGGCTCCCCCCCTCTTTCTCCTGCTTCTTAAAGCTTCCATCCCTGACATAACTGCACTGGATGAACTCACGCCCGTACAGAGACTGAGAGGTTCTCCAGATGGACATATGGGAAGARCTTATGGGAACCTAGAGAGGAACAGAAACCTCCAGTCTGCAGGTCTCATACTTGGTGCGGTCCCTCCAGTAGGAGCTTRCGGCTGGACGGGAAGAGCAACAAGGGAGCTTGCCTGTCACTAGATGGAGGTCAGGCACATTCCCTGATTACAGACTCCCCAGTCATTTCTGAGTGTCATGTCACCAGGTGGCTGAATGATGAAATCTAGGCCAGCTACTTGATTSTCCCCAGCCTCCCGTGAGGCCATTCTGCAGGACCCTGGCAATYGTCCCAGGCCCTCCAGGTGCTCCAATGGCAGATGTGGATGCAAATAAACCCATCATGACCAGGCCCCAGGAAGGGCCAAAACACACTCCACCTGTCAAATGCCTTTTTAGGTGGAAAGTATTTAGAGGCCTCAGATCATTCAGCCACCCAAATATTTTAATTCCAAATGGAACCAAAGACAAAACATTTTCTTGGGAAATCAACATGAGGGAGTRAGAGGAAGTCGTGACTCGCCATGTGTGCGCTCACACCTGCACATTCATTCCTAGGCACGTGAGCATGCCACAGGTGTTGAAATCAAGCGACAAGTATTCTTCTTACCTGGAAGCTTAAACATGGTCAAACCCCCTTTAAACCAACATAAAGACTCTGACAGAATGGTATGCTTTTGTGGAATATTCCAGAAGGTCCTGAGCAAGCATCAGGTGACTTTCTCTGTGCAGTTCTTACCTGGCAATGTAAGCAACAGTGCCAGCAGCCAACAACGTGATTCCTGTCTTCTTGGATGGATARTGATGTGGCCTGAGGACGACTTCAAGCAGCGAGAAGGGCAATATGAACGTGTGCTGGAGGAGAAAAGATGGCAGATCATGAGGGTGTCCTGCTGCCCAAGGTACCCATGACCCTCTCCTCCTTCTCCAGTCTGCCCACTCGAACACTGAAGGCTGGACTTTCCACAACTGGTTTAGATCTTGCTCCTTGGTGGCCCAAGGACCTACAGTGTCTCCCTATTCTCTACCAGATTGATCTAAACTCCTCTGTCTGGCTACCAAGGCTCTTTATAATGTGTCATCAACCTTAATGGCCCTGCTCACTGCCCACTGCCACTGCCATCCTCTTCTAACACACATGTGCAAATACACACATGTGTGCACACACGCACACACCTATACATGAAAACACAAGCATGCACACACTCATACATTCTTTCAAATATACAACCAATGTCCCATGCACATGCTCTCTCTCTCTCTCTCTCTCTCTCTCTCTCTCACACACACACACACACACACACACACACACACACACACACCAGGAACCGGGCCCTCATTCTCCATTGTACTTAGCCTATTTCCCCCACTTCCAACAGTGCTCCAGGTAGGACTAAACTCAGTCACGTGTTGCTACATGCAATAGGGGACACAGAGGGGTAAGACATGTTCCCTGTCCCCAGAGCTTGTGAATTTGCACCCCAAGTGCCAGACTGCACGGCTCAGAGTATGATGGTAGCTGGGTGACCCTCTCTCCGTGTGGACCTTATCTTCTCTCTCTGTTTTCTGATCCTCTCTGTTCTTTGTGGCTAACGCAATCTCCCAGGATGATGCCTCCAAATTTTCCCCATGCTAGTTTCTCTCACTCAGTTCTGTTGCCATGATATCCTGCACCCTGCAGTCCGGCACTCGGGGTGCAGATCCACAAGTTCTGGGGACAGGAAACACATCTTACCTCTCTGTATTCCCCATTGCACGCAGCACCGTGTGACTGAGCTCAATCCTGCCGAGGGTGCTAGGTATTGTGGGGTGTGCATACACCTCCCTGGGTAACCTTCCACGGCCCCCCTTCCCTGCATCACCCCTAGTTATAACCATCTCACATCTTCCAAACTTTTAAAACTAGACTTGTAAAAATGACATAAGCCAGGGATCCACCCTAGGAGGGGGTGGTGTTTGTGGAGACTACTGAAGCTCACCCCTTCTTGGCTTTGGAAACTCATCTGGGAAGGGTCACTGGAGACATTGCAATGCCCTTTCATTTACTGAAAACATGCACAAACCCCTCTGGCCACATTCTGTACTTATTGGCAATTTCCAATCGTGTTAGAACGTTCCGTTTTTCAGAGTCACAGTTATTATTCCTCTTTCATTCCTGCACCCCAATTTCCACAGTCTTGGCAGCTTCTTGCATATAAAGCGTCTGCTTTCCAGCTCCATTCCACTCCTGATCCTGAGCCTCCAGGTAACTGGCCTGATCACAGCAGTGCTTAGAGCTCGGGAATGTCACTGGGCTCTCATTCCACGTATTTGGAACAACAGTCCTCGGCTCCAGGCACTCTTTACCACCAGGTGCCATGAGTCTGGTGCTCAGGAGGCATTCCCAAGAGGGAGTAGACAAGCTAGCTAGGGCACCGTTAGATCATCAATATGACCCTCTGATGACAAGAAATATGACAAGTTTTGATGGGGCAGGGGTGGGGCAAGAAAGATTCATTCTTGGGGGTAGAGAAGGGGGTGGCCATCACTGGGGAGAGAAGACTTCCTGGAGGGTGACACAGAACAACTGGGACCCACATTTTAGTAACAAATCCCAGTGGGACAACATTGCTGACAAACATGGCTGTTCTGCCCAAGCTTGGTCCCAAACACGTCGACCGCTGGATGTGCAAATGGAACAATGTCCAGGCCCATTGTTCGTGTCCTTCTTTGGTCTGAGTTTAGGCTGCTGCTCATCTGTGTCCTCCTCCAACAAAGGAGCACTGGTGGTTTAAGGACACAAGCTTCCAAACCTAACCTTGGGCTAGTTACTAGCTACCTCCGACCTTCCTCCGACCTTCAGCTTCAGGGCAGTGCTATGAGGGCCAGGGCACAGGCCTGCCAAGTACTTAGTCATGGGCCCGTGAGAGTCTCCAGTGACATTCACTGTGGTTGTCATTATTATCAGTGTGACTGCCATTCTGCATCTCACTGGTGGGCCCAGGGGGTCAAGGCCAAGGGTCTGGGATAGTGTCTGTTCAGGTGGCTGGGTGTCCGCTGACCTGTGGTTTGCAAGAGGCACGCTGCTGGACTGTGGGACTGTCCTCCTGGGCAGTCATGGGGGGCTTCCTCCCATGGGGGTCGAGGGCACTTCAGTGACAGATTTCCATGTTCCCTTTATCCAGGGGCCACCCTCAAGAGGCGAGAGACAGCCCTGTGTGCGCGGCACAGCCATCTGCCTCTCTGCCTGCGTGTGCTCTCTGCAGCCAGAAGGAAGCCTCGGCTATTAAGAGCCATTAACAGGCCCATTATGCTGACCACTGATCTGACAGATTTTATTAACCTCGCCCACAATCAGCAGCTCCCTGTTCGCGACATTAATGATCATCTGGAACAGGATTCCGGTGGAATAATGTAGCGTGTTTGCTTTAGGAGCAAATGAGTCTGTGGTGATTAATGCTTTTACAATAAACAACTTGGGAATGCATGGCTGGTCACCTCTTCAAGGAGTCTGCCCTTTGTATGTGACATTCAATTGGATTTCCAAATGAATTCCCCCTGACGGCTTCTGGGAAATGGACTTGGGTGATGTCATTAGTGATGGGCCATAGGCGGTGGCTTCACACTAGCCGGAAGGTCTTTAGAAGAACCACATTTTCTGGTGGGGGCAGGATGGGCCTGGGAGACAGGAAGACCTCATTCTGTGAACTTTCTAAATATTGAGCTGCCGTCAGGTGCCAAGAAGGACCGAGGAACCTCCCGGAATTTCAAATGGACTTGAATTTCCACCACACATTGACATCAGTTATATAACCTTTGTTAGATAGCATATTATATTCCAAAAAAAGGAAGGGGGAAAAAAATCAGTAAGAGAAAAATCAAATATGCTTTCTGCTTCCAAAAAATCTAATAATTAGGCTGGGATTGACACAAATTAGCATGCTGCCAAAAATTATGGAAAACAGTGACTCACTCTGTATTTCAATTAACAGTTTCTCAGTTTCCCTTATAAACAGTGAAACTGACAAAAATTAATTATCTCAGAGGGGGTAAAATATTTCCTTTCAAAGTAAACAAAGCACCCAGGGCTGAAACAATAGCATATGTAAACAGAGCAATGAAGTTACGTTTTTCTGTTTAGGGGGACTTTGCTCTAAGTGTCTCCTTTCAAGTGCATTGGTCAGAAGGACAGCGCTGTTCTTTCCCCATCCATTACTCCCACCGTTGTCCCTTCCCCTTCCAGCCTTTGTATAATTTCCACTTCTATCTGAATATCTTGAAGACAGAACCACAAGCATTGATTTAAGTATTAGCAAAATAATTGCACTTGAGATTCTCTGGTGGCAAAATAGCCTTGGAGAGCATTACTAAAATCCACCAGCCCAGAAAACATTCTTAAAAGCTTGCATGAGTGAGTGGCAACTTGGAAAGTAACGATAATGATTTAAGAACTTGTTTCTACTCACCCCATAGCAGGAGATAAGTAGCCTTTATAAACAATTTCCCTGCATATGAGGCCAAACTTGGAGTGGAAGCATTTGGCCTGACTCCTGAGAAAGGGGCAAGCCTTTGTCACCGAGATCATCTGTGGAGCCACAAGTCATGGAGGCTCCAAAGACTGGATCCCTAAAGAGGGGAGGTCACACTCCTTCTAGGAGCACTTAATTTCCACCAGTGAAAGAAATTCAAGAAGCTGACACATTTTACAAATCCCATGACAATGTTTAAAAATATAATCTCTGCTTCCTTCCTCTGTTACATTTTACCACCAAGCTCTCTCTCTCTCGTGTTGACTTGACTGCAATTGCCACACAGGCCAATCATCAAGGGGCTTCCTTCTTGAATGCCCTGCCATAATACTGTCCACTTCCTGTGTGCCTCACATAATACTGTCCACTTCCTGTGTGCCTCACATAATATTGCCCACTTCCTATGTGCCTCCATCTTCTTGTTCTTCCCTCTGTCCAGGCAACATGTGGATCTGAGAATTAGTTCCTGATACTGGCTTTCCCCAGCTGAGGTCCATTCCTTCAAGTTTCTAAGAGAATGCCTTTGGATTGTTCATGGTACTATCAGATAGATATTTTTTAATGAAGTTTTAATGGACTGACAAGATCTCATCTGGGCACGCAGAGGAAGATTTGGGGCTTATAATGCATTAGATGTATCTTCTTTTTTAATTTAAAAGAAGAGCCATCACAGAAGCTCTGCAGAGACCAACACATCATTAAAACATCAATTCCAGTTTTAAATACAAAGAAAACAAACGTGGAAATGGAGGAAACACAATCTTGACAGAGTGTCATTATACCCAGGCTTCTTGTTACACTGCGGGAGCGTCCCTTAAGTTTAAAAACTGCATGCAGTAAAGACTTGGAGTAATAGTTGCTCCTTAAATTCTAGCAATGAAATCCCTGGTTTCCCATGCTACCACAAATAATCTCCCTCTCTCTACATCCCCCCACACCTCACTTTCTGCCTCTAACTCCCTCTAAGACAATGCCGAAGGTCTTGGACACACTTCCAGAAGTATTTTATATCTAAAATAGAAACCATCTATATTCTCTAGGTTCCTTATCCTGTAAAAGGCACAATTTCTATTTACATGAATCTCATATAGGTAAATTCGGAAATGTACCCATGGGCCATAAAGCTTATATTTCTAGGGAGCTTCGAAACAAACACAAAAAACGTCCACCTTTGCTATCTGCAGGAGTGTTTTTCAATCACAAGTTTTCAGATGACTGAATTTGCAAACAATTTCTTTTCCACTTTCTAGGAACTCACTGGCAGCTCCACCACTGTAATTAAAGAGTCAGTGGTGAAATGCCTGGGGTGGAGGGAGAGGGAGATAAACACYCACAGAAAGAGCCACA